TTTTGCTATGTTCAAGAGCAGACCACAGTGCGCTCTGTCTAGTGATCCAAGGACAATAAGGCCACAAAATATGCAAGGTTTTCGGCCACATGTTGCAATAAAGGAACACTTCCTATACTGGGGACAGTGGGGTACCAACAATAGCGTTACAGATTTTCAACCTTTTCTGTCTTAAGCTCTGTCCCGCACTAAAGGGCAGCATACATGACTATATTTGGCTGCATCACTCCAAACACAAAGCACACATTGGAATAGAATGGTTTGATTGCTGCATGCTCTGTCTCAAAAGGAATGAGGTGACAAAGAACAAATCAGTGAGACTACCACTTTCACATAATAGATATCAACGTAGATACTACTCTTCTGTTGACTTTTCCTGGTCCCAACAGAAAAGACAGAACAAGAAGAGAGGTTGTGTATAGAAAGGATATGGTCAAAGCAACAGATTCAGGCTTAAAAATGAAAAGTGAGAATATCTGCAACACATAGGTCTATCACACAATATGTATGACAATTCTTGTAAAAATTCTCAGGCCAGTTCTTCTAAATGTACAGCAATCTTCAGTGCATTTCAATGCTATTTAATCTTTCACTTGACAGAAGAAATGATAAGAACGTTTTTTAAAATGCAGTTTACAAAAGTTTTGTGTTGCACTAAATTCAAACAATTTATTACAGGCACCTTAGCCGGGAAACAGGCCTTCAGAACATTGCTGTATACTGTGTTGATATTTACATTGAAAGTTTTTCATATTTGAAGATCGATTACAAAACTTATAACAAAACTATTTTACTTATTTCTGGGAATTGGGAGACTGGGATTTGATATAGTGCACTTGCTCACACTAAGTTGCTTCCATTGGCCTCAGATCAATAAATTGAAATGCCAAGGACCTGCCTTCCATCAAGATTTAAGTTGACTGTTGACTCAAGCAAATATTTGATCTAAGCAGAGAATACAAGTTGTTTTATTGACATCTTAAATGAAATTGATATATTAAATGAAATGAATTTTGAAAAGGTATTTGTTGGTCCTGGAAACCTATTTTAGCGCAAGAAATTGAACTGTTGCCTCTTTTCCAAAGGAGCTGGCATCTCAGTGGCATTGAATTATATTTCTCAAACACAGATGGAGTAGGTGTGGCAAAAATCGAGACTCATTGAACTTTCAAGTCCCATTAAAAATAACAGACAAACAACTTTAAAGTAAAATCCATACCAAATAAATATGTTTAATATTTTATTTTGATCTTGAAATAGAAGAAATTCCATTTACTCACCAACAGCTTAAATCAACGCTGTCTCCTTGCTAATAGAAAACCCTGTGGTTCCTAGATGACGAATCTCATAAGATAATGCTGAATGAAAAATAAATTATATAGTTTTTCTTCTTTTCTCTGCTTCTGGTCTTCTTAACAGGTGCCACTGCAAAACTGAATATTCACACACACTCAGATTTCACTCAGCAATTCATGACAATATCACATTTCTGACAATAAGAATGAAAATCAGTGAAGAAAGCAGAAGTTAGAACAGATAGTTTTTTATGCCTCCTATTTATATTCCCCTTTTTGCATCCGTTCTGCAGATGGATGTTTTATTCTTTCTTTATGGAAAGTTTTATTCTTTACTGTAGATAAACAAGTAACATTGAAAACAAATATTCAATAGACTGTGCAGAAGTGACCCTTAGTTTCTTGTTCAGTTGTTTCAGAGCACAAGTTGGAAATAGAATTTCATTATGTTTTTTAAGGGTAATCAGCAGATTTTTAGAAAAAAAGAAAGAGGAAAGATAGAAGTGGTTGCATTGATTTGCTTGATTTTTTTTCTGTTCTTTAGCTTATAACACATACTGGTACTCAGTAAAACCAAAGTGTGAAATAAAAAACCAAAATACTTTCACAAGGCCTGTTCATTAATCATAAAGGTCAGTATAGGCAAATTAAATTTCTTGCTCAATACAAAACAAAATTGGAATAGTCTTTTATTTTTTACCGTATCCTAGGGGTATAGAGATATTGCATTTTTCTTTACCTTCCAGCAATCCATACGCAGAAATTACCTTTGCTGATAATTTTCTCAATATACACAATATGACAGAAAATTTTCTTGGGGGGAAAATATTTCATCTTCAGAATCCTTAATTTTTCCCCTTTTTTATTAACTAGAATATATTTAAATTAATACATTTGCAGAAATTGTAAATAAAAAAAGACTGTATACATTATGCTTTAATGAAGAAGTGTGCTGATGAGGAACAACCAATGTCAATATGTCCATAACTAGAGTCAGGATCAGGCCTAATAAAGAGAGCCAAGGATCAACATTGGCAATTTCTCATGTATCCATGCCCTTGTCTACCTTCGTCTTGAGGACTGAGAAGGAGGGAGGCAGACAACCATTGTGGCAGTGCAAGGACCTGCAGCTTAAACTGAGAGAAAAGAGGGAAATGTACAGAAAGTGGAAGCAGGGTTGTGTATTCTGGGAGCAATGCAGGGCTGTTGTTCGTGTGTGTAGAGATAGGATTAGGAAAGCCAAGGTGCAGATGGAGCTGAACTTGGCGAGGGATGTGAAAGATAATAAGAAGGGGCTCTACAGGTACACAGGAAGGAAGAGACAGGCCAAGGACAGTGTTCCCCCTCTAATGAAAGGTAACAGGGAGCTGGCTTCCTCAGGCAAGGAAAAAGCTGTGGTACTCAATGAGTGCTTTCTTGGGTGGTAAGGCTTCCCGTGTCTAGACCATGAGCCTCTAGGTGAGGTTGTGGGGAGTGGTTTCTGTCCCACTGTAACAGTGGAACAAGTCCGAATCCTCCTCATGAAATTGAATGTGTATACGTGTATGGGGCCAGATGATATCCATCCTAGGGTTCTGAAACAGATGGATGATGTAGTTGCTGAGCCACTCTCCATCATTTTTGAAAAATCATGGCTGTCTGGTGAAGTCCCCAGTGACTGGAAAAAGGGAAATGTTACTTCCATTTTTAAGAAAGGGAGAAAGGAGGATCTGGGGAACTACAGACTGGTGAGCCTCACCTCTGTGCCTGGGAAGATCATGGAGCAGATCCTCCTAGAAGTTATGTTAAGGCACATACGAAATAAAGAGGTGATTCAAGACAGCCAGCATGGCTTCACCAAGGGCAGATTGTGCCTGACCAATCTGGTGGCCTTCTATGACAGAGTGATGGCTTTGGTGAACGGGGAAAGGGCAGTGGATGTCATCTACCTGGACTTTTGCAAAGCCTTTGAAATGGCCTCTCACCACATCCTTCTCTCTAAATTGGAGAGTTGTAGATTTGAAGGATGGACCGTTCGATGTATTAGAAATTGGCTGGCTGTACGTAGCCAATGGGTTGTGATCAATGGTTCTATTTCAGGGTGGAGGCCGGTCACAAGCGGTATCCCTCAGGGGTCGGTCTTGGGTCCAGTGCTATTCAGCATCTTCATCAATGACTTAGATGATGTCATTGAGTGCACACTCAGTAAATTTGCAGGTGATTCCAAGCTGAGCGGTGCAGTTGAGACACTGGAAGGAAGGGTAGCCATCCAGAGGGACCTGGACAGGCTGGAGAAGTGGGCCATGAAAACCTAATGGGGTTCAATAAGGCCAAGTGCAGGGTGCTGCACTTGGGTTGGGGTAATCCCAGGTATTTTTACAAGCTGGGGGAAGATCTCCTTGAGAGCAGCCCTGTGGAGAAGGACTTGCATGTCCTGGTGGACGAGAAGCTGGACATGAGCCAGTAGTGTGCGTTTGCATCCTGGAAGGCCAACTGTCTTCTGGGCTGCATTAAAAAAGGAGTGGCCAGCAGGGAGAGGGAGGTGATTTTCCCCTCTACTCAGCTCTTGTGAGACCCCATCTGCAGTACTGCATCCAGGCCTGGGGCCCCAAGCACAGGAAGGATGTGGAGCTCACAGAGTGAGTCCAGAGGAGGGCCACTAAGATGATCAGAAGGCTGGAGCACGTCTCCTATGAGGAAAGGCTGAGGGAACTGGGCTTGTTTAGCTTGGAGAAGAGAAGGCTCTGGTGAGACCTTATTGCAGCCTTCCACTACTTGAACGGAGCATATAATCAGGAGAGGGAACAGCTGTTTACTAGGGTGCATAGCGATAGGTCAAGGGGGAATGGTTTTAAACTGAGACAGAAGAGATTTAGCTTAAATATTAGGAGGAAGTTTTTCATACAGAGTGTAGTGACATGCTGGAACAGGTTGCCAGGAGGTTGTGGATGCTCCATCCCTGCAGGCACCCAGGGATGTGACTGGAGGCAGACTGGATGTGGCTCTGGGCAGCATGGTCTAGTGGCTGGCGACCCTGCACATAGCAGGAGGGTTGAAACTAGATGATCACTGGGATCCTTTTCAACCCAGGCCATTCCATTATTTTACAATTCTGCAGTTCTATGACTGTTCAGTGGACAATCAGATTTTGGTTTTCTGAACAAAGATGAGATTTATTTTTCGAAGTTGTATCACATGAATGGGTTGTGTGGTCACTGACTGCATGGATGGGCTCTTGCTTAGTGCCAAGATGTTGTTACAAGGGCAGTATGCTTCAAGGATTTTCAGCCTGGGGAAAACATAATGCCCTAATGGGACTGTTAAAAGTTGCTACATTATTTCTCACTGAAGTGTTAAGTTATTGAGTCAGGCATTCATCGCTTGACAAAATTAATCAGAAATGTTATATTTTGGAAAGCACACAATTCACATCCTACACTTATTTTTCAAACATAAAATCAGACACATAACTATCATTTCTCCTAGGTAAAGGAAGGGCAGAGGGCTATTTTCATGAGATTGCAATTATGTTCTTACATAAAACTAAAACTTTCTCCTGCTTACAGTTCTGTGAACCAGAAAGTTGGGTTATAGAAGCATAAAATCATTGAACTATACTTGTCCAATTGCAATTAGTTAAATCACTGGAGGAAAGAAGAAAAGATTCATATTCTTAACTGCAGCATTGTGAATCTCTTTGATCAATTTTCCAGTAACGCTGGTTAATGAAAGTTGAGAGGATCAAGGCTTTTCCTGCACAGCTAGTACAAAGATTAAGGTAAGCAAATTTTGAATTCCTAGAGGAGTTTGAGCTGGTTAATCTCTTCACATAATCATCCTTCTTGTTATTAAAGGTGGAAGAACTTTTTTATTAGTATGACAGTATGCTCTGAGATTAGTGACTCAGCTGAAAGCTTATAACATTAGTTGCCATATGACAGATTTAATGTTGCCTGTGGTTTTGTTGTTTGTAGTTATCAGTTTTAAATATTCTTTTCCTCTTTTACACACTCCTTTAAACTAATGTCTTTGGAGGTTCTGAGTTAAAAGCTTTCTACATTCATTTTTACTATCTTTTTATATGAAGAACTGACAGATGCCTTAATAAAGAATAGCCAGCTGGTTTATTTACAAAGACACATGATCAATTTAGTTTGCAGTTTAAAAGTACATAAAACATCTGTACCCTACTAATGAGTTTTAACAGTTTTGCATCTTGTATATCATGCTATTCAAAATATCCATAATTAAAAGCACATTTTGTTAATGAAATCTTCCCGTTGAATCATCAAAAGAAGCAATTTGTACTTTTTCTAAAAAATTATCCAGATATGTTTGGATAACTATTTTTTTTCATGGCTTTATTTTTTTTTACTGTTAATTCAGCTTTCAAAATACAATCATTCTGTATTGATTTGCATGACATACAAAATGCTTTCTTTTCAATTCTATCAACACAGTAGTAGTTGTCATCTGTCTTCCATTTTAATGTTGCCTCTGATTTTCATAGAAGTAGTGATTTGGAAATCATAAATATAGAAATGTAATTGTAGAAATAACAGAAGGAAGAAGGGATGTTTAAAAACTCAATTTTGTGTTTACACTAATAAAAATATTATGGTATGAAATGGATAGGCTTAACAATATCTGCTAATCAAACAAAGGGAAATTTGATTGAATACTTAACTAAAGAGAATATCTATGAATCTACACTGAAAACTCTCCTGTAGTGAACACATGCTCAAAAATTTCATATTACAGATAGCATGACTGAATTTGATACCAACAGAAAGCAACATAACTACACTAAATCTGGATGGTATGAAACCGTCAGTATGGTTTCAGCAAGAGGTGTATTAGTTGGTAGTAGACAGCAATAGAAGTTATGATCTAGAGGCAATGTACTTTCAGCAGCATTGGTTCAGGTTGTCAAAATACTTCAGGTATTTCCATTAAGGCTTTTCAAGACATTTATCAGAATTAATGTCTCTACCATGGGTGTCACAGCTAGCAAGTATCTTACTCAGCAGAAATAAATTCAGTAGTTGATTATCATTTGACCACAATGTACAGATGGTTGAAAAAATGGAGAGTAGCTGTTCTTACTACTTGTACTTCCTAACTATAGGCATTTCAGCCTGTAGGGGAAAGTTAAGTACCTGCTGAAATGAATGCCCATTCCTCTTGCAGTACCACTTCGAAAATGTGCAACTTTTAATTATCCTTTCTCCACCTTTCCCCCAGATTCTCTCTTCACATTGTCCATATATTTTCCTCATGCATATCTGTCAGTCCCCTTCTGGAGTGATTTAGGACCCACACCCCTATTCTTTTTTCCTTAGACACTTAAGAGGGACCTTCTTCTGGCAGCTCAGTCTAGGGAAATCTTGCATTTGGGTCTTAATTTATTTCAGTTTTGTCAGTCTTACTAGCAACTCAAGATAAATTTACTAGATTTAACAATTAGAACTTTGAAGTCTGCTTAAAAAATTAGAAAGAAAATCTATTTTTATGCTATTTATCTCTAGTCAGGTTTTAGTTACATGCATTTTGAAATAAATGAAATAAATTCATTTTATTTTGAAATTAAGGAGAATGGATGATTGTAAACAAATCTGCCATAGAACAAATGAAATTTTGTGACTAGACCACTGCTTGGGACTTATGGGGGGTAAATATATCATCATTGTTATAGGGAAAGCTAATGGCTCCCAGCTCATGAAAATTATTAGAACATGGCACTCTGTCATCTTCAGCATTCTCTGCATTATCACCCACTAACTATTCTGTGTCCAACAGTCTAGTGTGGAAGGTTTACATTATGGATTTGCCTCCATTACAGTTCCAGAGAAGATCAGGAATGCACTTTGGAAATAAACCTCTGGTCACTGTATACTGTTTTGCTTTACTTTGAGTGACCTCAGATTACATACATTTATTCTCTTTGAAATTAAACTGAGCTACAGTGGTCATTCCAAAATTACACCTAATGTATTCCAAACAGAAGTAATACACTCTATGAGCCCTCCCTAAAATAGGTATATGACAGAAACATGGTTTGCAGCACCAAGTGTTTTGCTTTACAGCGCCACTTCTGTTGTACTTTGCTCTGTGCTAACATGGATGTAGCTGAACACACTTCACATCCAAACCAGCAGCATGGTTGATGAGTGTATTGCAGAGTATGCTGGAAGAGAAAGTTTGGATCTGTGCTTGGCGATTCAAGAGGACTGGCTTTTATAAATGTGTATTCTGTCAAAATCTGTGCCTATATATCTCAGCATGTAGACTTAACATTTTGCTTCTTAAGATCTCTGGAGCTTTTCTTGACTGGGCAGGAGAAGTACGACATCTTCATTATTCCCAAACACATATATATATCTTCTGTGTTTAAAATTAATATAAGAAAATCTAAATTGTACATTAAATAGTGATAGAGCATGAAAAAAGACAAACTTAGGCTATCTCCTTTATGGCATCTTTCTTTGCAGTGACATAACTGTAACTAGCAGAGCAGAAAAAAAATTGTTGCATCGAACCTAAGCAAGGGCTGCTGGGGGACAGGAAAGTCTAGGGAATTTAATTTCCAGGAAATGAAATTTATTGTAACTCTTATCAGCTTAAAAAAAGTACTAAATGTATCACATGGAAGATTAATGCAAAGAGATTGGTACAAGAATTCCAGAAACCAAAGACCCAAGATTAAATCTTTTTGAACTATCTTATTATTATTATTATTATTTTTTTTTTTAATTGACATATCCCCCTGACTATTGAAAAACTATTCATCTTGCTTCTGGAGGACTTTTAATCTCTAATAGAATGTGTTTTCCAGAATCTTCAGGTCTTTCCAAAAATGACATTTTCTCTATTAAAAAATATTCCTTTTTATAGAAATTATCAGGAGAGAAAAAACAGTTTTTCAAGTAAATAATCCATTTTACCTTGTTATCTCAGAGACCAATCAGAGGACTTAGTAGAAAGCATACATCTGTCCTGATTTCCTAGTATTTTTCTATTTCTTTCCATTTTTTCCTAATTATTAAGACTTTTCAAGTAGGATTTGTGTCAGATGCAGTTTTGGCCATTGAATGTGTGATATGACAAGGTGTGAAATATGGCAGTTAATGAACTAATTGGTTAATAATTATTTTGTATCCATCAAGGAAGAGCTGTTCTCAGAAGGGGCTTCCAGCCTGCAGATCTCATATAAACAGGACAATCCCCCTCTCATTCCAAGTTCTTGTGGAAGTGTTCCTTTATTGGTTAGCTATAAGGAGCTCCTTATGCGATGTCAATTCACAGTTTTGGCAAGCTTACTTTTTGGAGGTACCCTGCTCTTCCCAGGCATTGAGCTGGAGTGGCAGTGAATTGTACACAGTGGTACCAGAGTAAGCGAAGATCATGTCATCATTGAGAGCATATGAGGTCTGGTTTATCAGTCTCTTTTTGCACATCTGCAGGTATGCCTTGACCTTAGGAATCTAGTACACAGTCTGTTCTGGGAAATTAAGCATTTTATTTGCTCATCACATGGCTATGACTATTATGTCAAAGCCCAAACTTCCACAGGAAACAGTTTAGAACAATTATGTTGTAGGTAAAAATTGGAACTACGATTAAAAATGTTAATCTGGAGAGTGTTTAATGAACACAGTGATAAACACTGCAACTTGTATGTTTGAACCAGTCCCTTTTAAAGCTGTCTTCTAAAGATAGGAGAAATCAAAGACTTACTGACAACAAGAATGAAAGCAATTAATTTGTAGTGACTACTGAAATTGTAAACACGCAGGCATGCTTGCTGATTTTATTAGAACATGTCTTTGTGCTTCAAGTTTTAACAATAGCAAAAAAATACTCAGGAGAAATAAGTACCTTGTAAGAAATAGTTGAAAGGCATCCCAACCAGAAATTCACAATTCTAACAAAAATTAATAACTTCCTTATTCCCCAAGAGATGTAACCTCTGAATCCAGCTTAATAAATGCCAAATGCAACATGGAATATCATACTGCAATAAGTAAGGGAAGATACTAAAGTAAGGACACCTCGTACAGATTCTTGCAGAAATCATAACAAAAATTTTTGCATCTGATCTGCTACTTACATAGAATTGTAAAATGCATATTCCATTTGGTTTTACAATTAACACAGCTAAAGGAAAAAACACTGAAGAGGCTGAAAGTATGACAATAACAAAAAAATCAAATGGTATAGCTTGGGGATATCTTAAATTATATTTTATATATGACATTCCAGAGAATTTATCTACTATTAATTACTAAACATCAGTACTATGTATTTCAGCTCAAACTCTAAGTTTGAGAGAGCTACAATGAGTTCTCCAAGAAAAAGAAAACTCAGGTTGCTGTTTCAATTTCTGCCAATAAATAAGTTTCAAGTAATCACATATTTTAATGAAAAGGATCTAGACAGTATATATGTAATCCATAATTAATAGAACATCTCTGAACAAATATTGCATCTAAGTTTGGAAGAAAAATCCAGTTTCATAAGTTCTGAAATTTTTTTGTAAGTTTAGTTTTGAATAGGCAGAGTTCTTGTAGCACAGTGTATTTAATCGATCAGTGATGACAAGATTACATAAAATGAAATTATTATAATCAAACTTTTTAAGTAAGTGAGAGGATAATGGCTTGTAAAACTAAATGATATATTCTTCCTTCAATTTCTATCATTCATAAGAAATAAGACTATGTCTCCTGTGGGTTATTTCCTTTCTTGTAGATTAGAAGAAAGAGAGATGCATCTGATATTCCAGGTTTAAACTTTGTGGGAAACCTACAGGGTGTCTATCTCAGGTAAATATAGTGTGGCACAGAATTGCATTTGTAGAGAGTTTGGGATGTTGTAATAGATAATGTGAAAATATAGGCTGCAATAATATTAGACCATAGAAGAGACATAAAACTCCATAAGAATAGTAGGAGTCTTAAGGGATGGCAACAAAAAGTCTTGAAGACATTTAAGCTCAAGAATGTGGTTCAATACCACAGAAATCAGGTACTCAATTTTATTTATTTTTTATTCCAGCTAGGGACATGAAGATTTGAGCAAGACTGTCATGTACATTGGATCAGGCAACAGCAGGAGTGTAAGGTCTGTGCTTTTTTTTTTTTTTTCCATCTGCATTTGGAGAAGGTTAGGAAACTAGCTGTAGAAAGGATGCTGAGAATTCACCTGCTGATGTGGAAGGAGCACTACCATTAAGTGTTGGATTTCCATCAGTGTGCCTACCATTGTGCCTTAAAAGTATATGCTCTCTAGATATGACATGGGTTTTCTCATCCATGTTCAGAATGCCAGAATTAGTGGCTTGATCTTGGATTGACTGCAGTGTGTTAACATACTTTGATATATTATGGATCTGTGAAGGCTTAGTGGAGGCTTATATTTCTCAAATATAAAAGTTCAGACTGTGAACTTTAGTCTGTGGAGGTTTCAATGAACATTAAATTTTTTCTTTAAATAATTGGCTTGATTTAACTGAGACTGTTTTGAATTTGCTAAGTCTTAAACATCATGTCTTTGTCACGTGTGAGACTGCACCCAACCTACTTTCAGGAAAGTGATCAAAGAATAGTTAGATATACATGGGAGACACAACTGGACCCTTGACAAAGGAAGGCAAGGATGTAGGGGAATCCTTTCCCCAAACCCTCAATTATAGATTAGTAATTCAGACCATTCCTACCCCCAAAGAGAAAAGCGGAAGAGAACATTGCTGTGATGACTGGTCCATGTAAAGATGGTTACGTAGGGATCTAATTTTAATGACATCAACTGATTGTTTTACAGACCTTTGAGCTGTCATTCACTGACTATATGCTTTTGATTCATTCCATCTCAGTTCCTTCATTGGCAGTTCTCTCCTACCCAATCTTTTGATCTCTTTGCACAGCTAAACAATTTATTTTTATCTAATGCAGAGATGACTTTAAATGCCAGTAGAGAGAACACAACACTGAACTGATCTGGAAAATTCTCTTCTCAAAGACTATACAGAAAGATGGTTTGTAGAGCTATCTTGCTTAATTTTGATGGTGTGAAGCCCTTCTCAATAAAATCTCCAGTGGGTTTACTTCTGAAAATTTGAGGCTATTAATTTTAAGCACTACCAAGGTTTTCAGTGAGAATGGTTGTGAGATGAGCTGTTAAAACCGAAGAATTTCTATAGAAATTTAGAATCAGTGTGTTTTCATTGCAGAAATATATGGACACTACAAATATATTCATTAATGAAATTTCAATACAATGTAAATTACTAACTAAAAATAATTCTTGCCTTCATTTTAATAGGTACTACTAACCTTTATGCAATGATAGATATTGATTTTTCTCTGTAGATAACTACATGATGTGTTCCAGTTATAGTATTGATTTAATTTAGTATGAAAAGCTTTGTCCATACACACAATTTGCTATTAAAGTCCCTCAAGGAAATTCCATACAAGTTATGCCATGAACTTATCAAGACATGATTACAAAAGTAACATTAATTCTTAGCTTCCCATTGAATATTAATATACATATTATCAGATAAAATTTTTGTACTACTGAAATTAATGGCTAAACTGTTACTGATTTTGTTAGCATATTACATTTTCTTTACTTTTAATACTACATTTAGCTATGCAGAATAAAATACACTATAACATATGTAGTATTTAATAAGAAAAATTTGAAATTCAACATTGGTTTGAAAACTAAATGAAATAAAAATTATTATTGAAACTCACATGAAAAAATGGAGTGCAAATAGTCTTACAGAAAGATCAAATGAGAAAAACTCAACTGCTGGTTAAACAAGAATATGAATATTTGATTTTTACGTTAACCAGTTTACTACTCTTAATTTAAAATCACTTTCAACGTTTTTTTTTTTTTTTGCACATATAAATTATCCTTAATTATATAAGCAGTTCAGTTTTTCTTATAATTTTGTGTTCAAAAATATTTCTTGTTAGTATTTAAATAATTCTGATGCAATTCCAGTTGAATATCTTCAATATTAGATAAGCAAAGATGGGTTGTCCTTGTACTAGGTGGTTTTCCCCTAGAGATTGTTAGGAATATATAGAAGATGTTTAGAGAAATTAATGTAAGAATCTGTGTTAGAAGACTAAGTCTGCATTGTCTACGAAATTCCAAAGTTACATTCAAAAAAGCTATATCAAGAAAAGGAGAGAGGTTCAGCGACACTTTTGACATATTCCATTATCCTTCTAACATCAGGCTAATATTAGAAACAGAAATGCATTTGTCAAGTGTCTTTCAACCTTCATTTATCTGCCTTCACCTCAATTCCTAGAAGGCATTTTTACAACAGTAAGACTTTCTTCCTTTAATAAGCCATTCCAAGAAACAGAAAAAGGATGTAGAAAGAGATTATAATAAAGAAAATAAGCTGAAAACCCAAGTGTATTTTCTCAAAAGTTTTTTCAATCTGGTTTTATGTATCACAGAAAACAGTAAAAGAGATGAGAATCTCTCTGTTTCCTTGAAGTAAGAAAAGAGATAATAGGTGGGTCCACGGACCAATAGATCTCAGAATGAAAATTTTCTTATGAAATATAACTTCCATTTTCTCTTCTACATATTTCATCCTTTTTGGTTTAGTAACACCATGTTATGGCTTGCTGAAGTATTATTACCTCATAGAAAAAATATCCCTGAGAGATTTCAAAACTTTCTAGGGAAAATACATAGTTGGTTCCTTCAAGAGCAGTCCGACAAAGCACATATGACAAGGCTTAATAGTGAATGTGTGAGTCAGTCCATCAACACGTCGTGACCATGAGATGTGCAACACGTATACATCTTAATACACATTTCCCTTTTTTAAGATATTAATCCAATCCTTAACCATTTTGTCATGGTTATCATAATTATTGTTACACAAAAGTCTCTCAAACAGTACTTTTTAGGTAGTGGTGCACTCAGAAGTGGCTGTCATACCAGGTATAGTCAAAATAGCTATATGCACATATTAGCTCTGCAAGTGCACTTCTCAGCCATGTTTAAAGTACATTCCAACACTACCATAACTGATTTTCATTTTAATATAATAGTATTTGTTTGCATTTTTTTTTTGACATTCTTTATTTATCTTTTCAACTAATAGTCTATCTATCTAGCAATCTGTAGGGGATTTGGATTGTTATGTCTATGAAAATGTTCTTAGTGAGTAATTTTCAGCACACAGTTTCCTGTCTAGACACTCCACAGGAAAATTAAATCTGTCATTTGTGCATCAAATGCAAAAGTATATTGAGGAAAAGCAGTTATTTGTCATCAAGACATTCAAAAGTTGTAAAATATTCAAAAGTAGCCCACAGTTTAGCTAAAAGAAAAGTAATATCTTATTTCTGAAAAGTCTACAAAATGAAGATTTTCAACTCCAACTACTTTGAAGAAGGCAAATTTAAATCCTTGATTAGGTCTGAGAAAAGTCTTCTGACTTAGTGTATAGTCCTAAATATGTGAAGATTTACCTCAAGATATAGGTGAAACTATTGAGCTTTGTGACACTGTGGTTAACTGGTGTATTTCTGAATTTCTATTTGAGAAACTCAGTTTCTGTTTTGGAAAGAGAATGATAAAATATTCAAAGAAAGACTGTAAGATCTATGGTCTTTTATTTTCGAAGTGAGAAAGCTTAGATGTTTTGGATATATTTTCAGACTCCTGGGTTTTTCTCTTTGTAGAACAGTAAGCCTCTGTACACTTTGAAATCTGCCCATCAATAGTTTATCTTCTCTAAAAACCTCAACTTTTGACTTGTTTTCTGTAATTCAGCTGAACAGGATCTCACCATGGCTCAACAAACATTGAGCTGTAAAGTTGATGAAGAATATTTTAGTTGCTGTTCCAGCTATCTCTGAAAGCTTGTGGGAGGTCAAAGAGGAACACAGAGCTTTGTCTCAGAATTATACAGTAAGCACTCAGACGAATATTTGTGTCTTCATTTATAAGCAATTGTATAAACTATTTATGTTTAATTCCCAGCCCAAATCCATTAATTCTCTGAGAAGCAATTCCTAAATTCTTCTCAGAACCACATGTAGGTAGGTGCATTATATTCTACATTCATGTTTTTGCCACTGAATAGGAGACGAGAGCACACCAATATTATCACAGATGTGGCTCACTAAGCAAGGATTTTTCTGATTAAGAGAACTCGTTCAGCTTGCAGCCCTGTAAGTGTAAAACCCTAAGTTAAATTTTACGTAAAAATTCCTTTGTGGATGCCATGATCCATAATTTGAATGATACTGCTGCAGATAGTCTTCTCAGTAATACTCCTGAGTCCTTATTTGTATGCACTTGAATGAAAACAGTCAAGTAAAAGCAAATACTTTTTTGACTTCTGCATAGGAATAGTGTTTCTTTCAAACTCACAGTATCATTTGACTATTGAATAAGAATATGCAATAGATTCTAATGCCTACATTCTCTTTGTTTTCCCTGTATTTTCGAACTCTAATCCATAAATACAATTTTCCCATTGTTAGTAATGTGACATGAGCTTTGTACTATGTTACAGAGCCTCAGGACAAAGGCTTGTCCTTCTCATTTGTTCTGAAATTATTATTTTGTTCTCAGTCGGTTTAGCTGTAGCAGTGGTTTCACAAATGATCAAGTAGATATGCTTTTAATTTTGCTAATCTTTGTATGGTATAGGAGACTCTAATGCTGTGATAATATATTATAGAGGTGTGTTATGATTGTAGTGGTAGTGAAAAGTGGAAACAAGCTGGGAAAAGTGGCACAAGAGACTACAAGGCTATAAACTGTCATTTAAAAGAAATAGATATGAACAGGATGGAAAAAAAAAAAAAAAGCATTAAAGATGCAAAAAGTGCACAAAATGCTGTAATTTCAACTGTATAACTGAGTTGCTAATCTGACACTGCAGCTTGGCCTCAGACCTGCTCTGTCAGCATAGACTTGCCTGGGAATCACTGGACTGTGACTGACCCTGCTAATGGTCACCAGATCCATCCTGCTTTCTTTGCTTGGGCGTTCTGTGACTATGCCCTTGCTGAAGACACTGCTCTACTGGCCCATGTAAGAATGGCATGCTCTTGCTGCCTCTT